CTAAACCCGAAACCCTAGAACCCTAAACTAAACCCTACACCCCTAAACCCTACACCCCTAAACCCTAAACCCTAAAACCCTAAACCCCTAAACCTTCTGAGGTGCGGCCGCCGCCTCCAGCCCTTCGGCTGACAGGCAGGTTCCTGTAGCCGCCTTGGGCTTCTTACAGGGCTTTGGGTTTAGGGTTTTTTTTAGGGTTTAGGGTTTAGAGAGTAGGGTTCAGGGTATAGGGTTTAGGGGTTTATAAAGGTTTAGGGTTTAGGGTTTTATAAAGGATTAGGCTTTAGGGTTTGGGAAGTAGGGTTTACGGTTTAGGTGGGGTTTAGGGTTTACGGTTTGGGGTTTCGGGCTTCGGGGGCTTTGGGGTTTTGTTTGAGGTTCTTCTAGACGTTTCTGATACGTTTTACATCGGATTTCTTGAGACGGGGTACTTATGATACGGATCCTACCACGTAGGGTTTATCTTCGAACGGCTGGGGCTACCTGCCTTTTTGACTTTGATGGACGGCGGGGAAATTTGTAGGTGCTTACTTATGGGCTCTAAGGTTCAGGGTCGTACAACGGGTTTAGGGTGACGATGTCGGGCTGTATAAGAAGAGAGTTGAGGGCTTCAGGACTCAACTGGGCATGGATTTTCCTAGGGTTGTTGGACATTTTGGCATACTGAATCTTATCCTAAACCGTAAAGCCGTACATTCTCAACCCCACACCCTGAACACTATGCAACTTGAGTCCCCGAATCCTAGACACGACGACTCAGAAGCACGAACGGTTGCTACACGCACCCTTCGGGCTCACCCCCTGAAAGCTGGACCCTTTGGCGCTTGAACCCCTTCGAATCCTACTAGAGCGTGAACTCACACGAATTTACTAGCCCCCTAAATAGAATACTAGTCGTACCAGGACAGGACCTACAATGGAGGCTTTGGGTAAATCCCACAAACCGACAACCTAAACCGGAAGCCCTACGCCTAAATGCTAACACCCTAGCCGCCACCCAAGCTTACAACCCAAGTCATATTATACCCATGTAGCTAAGCTCTAAAATCCTGGCAGCCCCCCAAACATAAAGCACCCTAAACCCTAAACCCTGAACCCTAAACCCGAAACCTGAAGCCCTAAAACCGAAAACCCCAAGCCACCTCCGGCGCAAGGAGGCCAGCAAGGAAGTACTGAGCGCTCTGCTGGGTGCGCCGGAAATTACTGGCCATGACCTCAATGTCTTCATTTCATTGTTTGTTTGTTCTCTTCTGGGCTTAGAGACTACCTATAGTCTCCATTGTGGCTCCTTCTTTTTGGCTTAACCAGTTTCAAACTTAGGATCCTAGGTAGGGTCTAAGGATTTTGGGTTCAGGTCTGGCGGGTTAGGGCATGGGGTTTAGGGCTTAGGCTCGGGTTTCGGGCTCCGGGTCCCTCCTGAAGCCTAGATAACCCTAAACTCTACATAAACCCTCAACCCCTATAACCCTACACGCTACATAACCTATAACCCTAAACTCTGACTCTACATAAACCCTAAACCCTATAAAACCCGAAGCTCTACATAAACCCTATCGTTTCCCACCGCCCGACAAACTTAGCTTGTGTCTAGGGTCCCCCTAGCCCCCCAGCGCCTCGATGGATCCTGGCTGCAATGGGCCGTAGGCGCCACGAAGGCTGCGACCTAGCCAGTCTAGCGTTAGGATCTAGGGTTTACCTATAGTCTCCATTGTAGTTCCTTTTTGGGGTTACCTTTTAGGATCCTTAATATAAAATTGGTCGAACCAAACAATGAACCACAATGGAGACTATAGGTACGGCTTGAGTTCAGTGTTTTTCCGGTTTTTGGAGATTGAGGGTGTGCATCTGTGTAGACTCATCCGTGCTGAAAGCGCGGGGATACAATATAGCCAGCATGGTAAGCCTGAGGAAATGCAGTATCCCCAAGCATCCTGCATGCTATGCTCAGGAACCTTAATGGGGGGCTGAGGGTGAGCACAGAGAGCTTACAGGGCTTAATTGGGCCTTATAGGGTTTAGGTTTCGTCTGCCTCCGGGTGCGACATGGAACCATGCACACTGGGAATCAGAACCCTTGGTGTAAAGCGCGCTGGCATTGTTAGCAGCTGATGACCCATATTCTGCACGTGGCCGGAGCACTCGGCAGGCAATCACACCACTGAAACAGAAACCCTACTACGCCCTAAACCCAAAATCGCAAATTCAACAAACCGTAGTCCCCACCCCTCCTCCACTCCGCCCGCCTAAACAAAACAACCAAAAAGCACAGTCATCCACTGCAGGCGGAGATCCCAGCTGGAGCGTCTGCATCCCCCCCTGCCGAGTCAGCCTCAGCATGATGGGTCTCCCAGAGAGTTACGGAAAGTAAGGCTTATAGGGTTTAGGGTTATTTTAGGGTTTGAGTTTGCGTTTACAGCTTTTGGGCTTTAGGGTTTCGGGGAACTGATTCTTTGAAGGCTTTGCTAGGGTTCCTGTACCGGCCGACTAAAAAGGGGCTAGGACTACTAGGGATATAGGGTTTGTATCGAGTCTTCGAGGGCTTGATAAGAACGCAAAGTCTGGAAGCATCGTAACCCCAAAGCCTGGAACTTCCTACCTATAGTCTCCAGTGTACGTAGTTCCCTTTCTTGGTCTAACCAGCTTCTTATTCGAGATCATACAAGGTAACCCACAAAAGGAACTACAATGGAGACTGTAGGTAAGTCCAAGGACCTAATAATCATGTACTTGTTCTACGATAGTAGTTCTGTAGAGTAGCATTCGAAAGAGTATATGATTGTTAGGTACCTGGACCCTTAGGGAGACATATCCAAAACCCTAAAACCCTAAACCCAGAAAGCCCTAAACCCTAAACCCTAAAAGCCTAAAATCTAAAACCTAAGACCCGAAACCCTAAACTCTTATTAAGTACTTGGACCCTTACTAAGGGAGAGATTACTTAAGGTGAGGGAACGTTCCGAGTGGCATTTCGAAGGGCTGAGCTGACATCCCGTGAGGAGCAGACGTGGCCTCCACGAGATCAGGGCTGAAATCAGGGCTTGGCTTAACAAAACGGGTTTAGGGTTTAGGGTCTAGGGTCTAGGGTTTAGGGTCCTTAAACCCTAAAC